GAGCGGGGTGCCGGCGCGTGCGTCCATGGGTGCAGGTCGCCGGCGCCGGCGCGCGCGGGGCTTTGGAGCGGGAGAAGACAGAGCGAGCAAGTGTGCTGCGCGCGGAAGCGGAGGCTGCAAATACACCGCGCGGGGTACCGCTTCCTGCCGCGTGCCCAACTGCTTATACCACGCGCGCGGTTATTGCGCGCCCGCTGGAGCCATCCGCCGGGTTGCGTGCGCTAAAGTGAGTATTTACGACGCTGCGCCTGTTTAGCGCGCCTGTTGAAGATGCTCTAAGACTCGTCTGTAGAGCTGAAATAGATCTCGCCAACGAACCAGACAATCAAGATGCCACCGGTTTATTCAAGGTTATCTCACCCTATTCCATGGCCACAGCCAGGAAAGCAATTATGAGAAGAAAAGGTTAAGGCCTCTTTTGGTTCATAGGATAGGATTATCATAGAAATAGAAATTTTGTAGAAAATGAGATGGCATGTATCTCAAATCCTATGAGTAGAAATAGGAAACAAGATGTCATTTGGTTGACACCAAAGGAATTTTTCCATTGAGTCTAGGCTTATTTTTATTTTTCTATGAAATGTGAAGGATAGGAACCAATCCTATGTAGGAATAGGAATCTATTCCTATGAAACAAAGGGCTCTAAAGGAAAAAATCCTATAAGAATCCTATCCTCTAAAATTCCTATGAAATTCCTCCAAACCAAAGGAGGCCTAAAGGTGTAAGAAATTAATACCAAGGAAAACAAAGACAGAAGAACCAAGGACAAACATATATGCAGATGGCTGAACGGGCATTCAGCCTGTCTCGAATGATACTGCAAGTTTAACTCTTCAAACGGAAATCCTGAATGATCATAGGGCGTCATAGTAAATATTCAAGACTGGCCATTGAGTACAGATTAGATAATACTCCTACATCATAAGGTCAACAAATTGAACAGAGTGTCACAAATTAAAACCACGTCAAATACAGCAACTACTGCTCTCACCTGATTTCACTTGTTTTCATCCCACTTCATAAAATTAAGTCACCACTCTTCATCTTTGAACCAAACCTACATCATCCCGAATACAGATACAACAGTGAAACAGGGGATGTGTTTGATTTCCCTTGTGATTTTTACTGTCGAAGAATAAATGATTGTTTATCTGTATTTATGTGCAGATATACATCTACTTTCTTGAAATCTTTGATCTACGCTGAATTGCTACCCCATAAATAACTGCGGAGCACGATAGATTGTTCGCACATACTTTCTTGCCCTGTTTGACTGAAAAATCACGACCACGTTTCAATGTTAAATTTACCAGCCCTTTCCAGTTTCCTGAGCCATCCTGAAGCAGCCTCACCACCTTTTTGGCGGATAACTTCTTCTAGTGCAGCTGTAACATCAGCAGGCATTTTGGTAGAAGACCCTGCAACGTATATTGCAGCCCCAGAGCATAATATGTTCCACACTCTTGCACTCTGCTCCTTTATCTTATGTTGTACATAGACCTTTTGAGGCTGATCCCTGGAAAAGGCAACAAAGAAACCACCGCCCTCTTTCAGGGACAGCACTCCCTTGTCCTGGGCATGCTTCAACCAGAAGTCCTTGTACAGAAAATCGTTGTCTTCATTTCTACAGCCAAAAAAGAACAGAATGGGAGCTGTTGATTCTCTCGCACTCTGTGCAGCCCTTTCCTCCACAAATGCTCGAAATGGTGCACATCCTGTTCCTGGTCCAATAAGTACAAGAGGAATCGATGGCTTGGGAGGAGGCAGGGATCCTTTGTGTACCCAACATGGTATAAGATTTTCTGCACATAAACAAAGTGACAATTAAGAGAGGTCAATGTTTTTTTTTTCTTCAGGGTGAATGGGTACATGTACTAAGTTAAAGTGAAAGTAAATGTTATTACAGCAGGAGCAGGAGCAGTGACATCCAGGAAAAGAACAGAAGGAAAGAAACAATGCATACCTTCATTTGGACTGAGACCTGCCAGCCATGTGGAGCAGAGACCCTGCCTTGTCCTCTTGAAAGGAGTAAGCCATGATACAATACTAACAGTCAAGTGTATCTGATTTGGATGTACTAATGGCGATGATGATATGGAAAAGGCCCGTTTCTTCAATGGAGGAGTTAGTTGCACCAGCCATTCAAAAGGCATGTGCACCGAGGGAAAATCCTCCAGTACCTAAAAGTAGCACAAAACCATATCTCACGGTTCAACCATGAAAAAAATTCCAAAGACAATGGCCTATTGTCATATAAATGGTATAACTTGCACACACTAATTTTTTGTATTGCAAGAACGGCATATAGAAAATCTCCAGTTAAGACATAACTTACTTCTAGAACAGTCCGACTCTCCTTTTGATTGTACTGGTAGAGGTCATCTCTACCTTCAGGAGAAGCAAAATACTGAAGCCTTTCCTTTTCATGTTCAGCTGTTGCAAAATGGCTCATGATCTACAACAGAAAATTGAAGTTGTGTGAACATCAAAGATGACTCATTAGCCATATAAATCAGGATATCACTGGCATCCATTAGCTATCAACAGCTAGAAAGGAAGTGCATGGGATAAAGCATTCAGGGTAGCTGTTCTTGCCTCAAAGAAATACCGACGAGGGGAAGCTGATGCAACATCCATTGTCAAAGCAACAAAGGTGCTTAACTTGATGCGACCCATCGAGCCATTCAGAAGTGAACCGTTGGGAACTTCATCCCCTCCCTTTGCTCTAATCTGGGCAAACAAAATAGTCTCTTTTTTAGTTAGCTAAATAACTGCAACAGGTTGACTAGTTGATAAGATATAAAAAGGCACAAGTATCTCTAGTTTTCTCCCCTTTATTGATAAACTTAATAATCATGTATTCGAGAAAGAAAGAAAAAGGATGTAGGAAATATAAACCATAACTTGCTACAAAAGCAATGACCCAGTTAAAGCAGTTGTATTTAATTTTGCAACAAACAATGCGCAGACAGATACTACTATGGACCGAGATACTAAAGGAAGTTAAGTCAGTGCCGGAGGAAACACAAACGTACAAGAAACTAAATCAAGCAGATAAAACAAAACAGATCAACCTACCGTTATGTAACAATCTGGATCCAAGTTACAGCGTTCAATGAAAGCATTAACAGCTGATGGATTCTGACTTGGTAGAATTTCTAACGCATCGCCAACTTGATAGCTGATCCCCTAACATGGCAAAAAATAAACAATCTTACAACCTCTTCACATTAACAAGATGACTGTGAGCTAACATCATATGGAACAAAGAACGCACTGAAGATGGATCTTCCAATTCAAAGTGGCGCACATCTTTCTCATAATCCTCCTTAGTCAAACGCTGATTTGTTACCTAAAAAGGTAAGCAGGATCATCAGTGACATGAACTAAAAGAATAAAGATGGATCGACTAAATTACAACAATTTTTACATCAACAACCTATTATATACTCACAGAACAGGAGGAGCATCCCCACAATGAACCATAACTATCCCCAGTCTGTTGTTTATCATACTACCACCCATAGATTATTCATTACTCTTGTTTAATAAGGTTCGACTTTTTTAGCATGGTAAATATCTCCCCGTGCAAGCCGAACCTCCTGAGCAAAGGAGCATCACGTTCATGACATAGAACTGCAACTTGAGCTTGGCATGCACAGTTAGTGGCAAGCTTCTCGCAGCGAATGGACAGTTTAAGTGTCTACGGAACAACAGGGCATCAACTAGTGCTATAGAGCTTGCCTTTGCAATCAGAGCTTTCCTATGGTAATGAAAAAGAAAAAAATTGTGTATGGTCGACTGTTGTCCAGTGTCCACTCTTTTTTCCCCACAAAAAAGAGCTTGTCTATGGTGAAAACTGCCCACTGAAAATATAAATGGTCAAATAAGCTAAATCCAGCATAAGGTGCCTTGCCAGCCAACAGGAAATCTACTCCAGTCTTATGCATACATAAATACTAATTCAGTGTAAGTTCAGGAGAGTTAAAACTCCAAAATACCCAATTAAATTATAGCTGACGAAGTCTACTTTATACAAGTAAGTTCAAACCCTTTAAATAGTGTTATTCCCAGGAGCAAATACTATATTCAGTAATGACACAAGAAGGGGATAGTTTTATATGTAACTAAAGAAGATTCCCTAGAGATGAATGTGTGCTAATATTTAGAACTGCTAGATCATCTGAACCTGAAATAACCAACCATAAATGGGCGATAAAAGTAAAATAAAAATGGGTATAAACTGTTAAACACTTGGAGAGGGTACAGAACGTGCCATCTTTAACATGTATTGTGGCTCTCCATCACTATGGAACTTCAGAGCAGGGGACATTAAGCGTGCTCTCTTGATTAATTTCTTGGAGTCTGATGAAAAAATGACAGAATCTTTAGAAGAGACATTATACAACTGTTTACAGGTTATCGCTAACATTAGAATGATTGACGACAGCTCAGACCTGAAACAATGGAATCTGGAGGGGTATCATTGCAAGAGTAATATATGACTTCGATCTTTGAATCCCCCAAATAATTCAAATTAGGATTAATGATATCAGTTATTCTTGGTAGAAGTGACGGATTTGCTTTATTCAGCGATTCCCACAAAGACAGCAACCAAGGATCTAGAGCTCCTTCATATCTGACATACAACAAAATAATCTCAGGTGACTTTGAGAAATTTATTTCTAATACGAAAAAATAATGCTTAAGATTTAGATAACCAGCAAAATATGACATTAGACTTCCCCAAAACATGCAAATGAATATCATCATACCCTGAAGGGTGTTGGTCATCTCCCAAGCCTATCTCTATGATTATTTCTGCACCAAGTTGTAAAAGCCTTCTATCGATCTTCTTTGCAGGTAACTGCAGTGTGTATGCAACAGTGAGCAGGAAAACAGAGACAAGAAGCCAGTAAGATTTTAAGAAACAGAAGTCATGATGCATGAGCAACAAAGGGCAAAACCTACTACTACTGTTTAGAACATGCAGCATACAGCATGCAGCAAAGTAGCAATGAGAAATGAGCATGGTTTAGCATGCAGCAAATGCCAGTTCAGAACACATAGCCGTCATGTACAGTTTTTCATATCCGTTTCTTACATGGCGCAAACGAGTGTTCTACTTCTATTCATAATTAAGTTAAATCCCCGAAAACAGTGAACTACAGATAATTTTAACAAATCACGGCACATCATCATTATCTTAAAAAGCAAAATAGCAAGCTACAATATCCTTGTCATCAGAAGACTAACATTGTACTTCTGGTAGCCCGAATCGCCGAGCCCAAATACGGCAAAACGGAGCCCTTCCAGCCACCTGGCACCAAGGTCCTTCTTAAGAAGGTATCTCCAAAACCCCTGTCACATGCGAAACCCAATGTAAAAATGCTCAATTAACAAACCAAAATTGACAAACTTGCAAACAAAAATGTATTCTCAATTTCCCTTACCTTCATGGAATCCGGGGGATCGCCCTGCCCCGTGGTGGACACGACGAACACCACGGACATTTCGCCCGGCAAGCAACTCTGCACAGAGAAAGAAGAAGGCTTCAGATGACCTCAGATGGAAGGGTTGCGGGGTGAGTTTTCTAGGGTTAGGAGCTTACGGGGTCAAAGCTGTCCATGGAGAGGACGTCGACGGCCGGGCAGCCACCGCGCTCGGCCTCGCGCCCAACACGTTCGGCGGCGTCCATGGCGTTGCCGGTCTGCGACGCGTAGAGCACGAGGAGGCGGCCGGTCGCCGGAAGCGGCGGTGGCGGCTGCGGCGGCGACGGAGAGGGCCCCATGAGTCAGAAAAGGTTATGCGTGGAGTTTGGTTTGGCTTCAGGGGCCCTTCGGGAGTGCTCCACGGACCACGGCCGCCAACTTCCCGACTCTTCCGCGGCCTGCCGGCGGCCAGCTTCTCGCGTCAAACCAGATTTTCGAGAGCGCCCCCTATCTCGCTTACCGCGAGACCTACGGAAGCCTCGTTACTTGGTTAATTTTCACGTTTTTCAATTTTTTACTTCTTTTTTTTGCAAGAATTCAATTTTTTACTTCTTTTATACTTCCAAGTATTCTAAATAAATATAACACAAAAAACATTTTACATAAAACAATTTTAAACAATTTTAACCAAGTATTTGAAAAATGTTAAATGTTCTCATGTATACAGAAAATGTATACAAAAAATATACAATGTGTGTGAAAAAATATGATCATGTATTTAAAAAAAATTAATCAAACATTTGAAAAATGTTAAAATAAGTACTTGAAAAATGTGAATCAATCATTTCACAATTTTCTAATGTGTATAGAAAAAATGTTGACCATGCATTAAGAAAAAATAATCTTGTATTGTATATTTGTATTTAAAAATGTTAAAATTGTATTCTAAAAATGTGAATCAAGCATTTCACAATTTTCTAATGTGTATAGAAAAAAATTTGACCATGTATTAAGAAAAAATAATCTTGTATTGTATTTTAAAATGTTAAAGTTATATTCTAAAAATGTTAATCAAACATTTGAAAAACTTAATGTATATAGGAAAATGTTGATCACATACTAAAAACTATTAATATTGTATTTCAAAAATACTAATCAAGTATTTGAAAAATGTTAAATATGTAGAGAAAAATTTTAATCCTGTATTTGAAAAAAATAATCAAGCATCTGAATATTTTTTAATGTGTGTAAAAATGTTTACCGTTTTGTTAAAAAAAGATCCTATATTTGCAAAATGTTAATCAAGAATTAAAAAAATGCTAAATATGTGTATAGAAAAATATGACCTAAAAAATTGTATTTGAAAAATGTTAAACATATATTAGAAAGAAAATATTGACAGATACGAAAAATGTAGAATGGAAACCAAAAGATAAGATAAAAATAAAAAAATAATAAACAAAAAATACAATAAAAAACTATAAATGGAAAATTTATGGAAAATAGCAAAAACCGATAAAAAAACAAAAAAATGAAAACAAAGAAAGAAACAAAATCCGAAGACAGAGGGAAAATGAGAAAGAAACACAAACCGGTAAAAACCATGAAAGAAACAAAGAGAAACCAAAGAAAAATGAAGTATAACAACGAAAAAAACAAAAAACAGAGAAGGAATAAGAAAACCAAACAAAAAAACTAGAGAAAAACGTAAAAAACAAAAAGAAAAGAAAAGAAAAGGAAAAAAAGAGATCGAAAATGTGTAGAGAGCGAGCGAACAACGACAGATCAATGGACCTGTAGGGAATAACATCCTGGTCACCATGTTCCCGCGTGAAGGCATAACAAGGGGTTCCTCAAGCACCATTGTTACTGATGTTGACAATCATATCCATCTCAATGACAAGAAACAAACACCCTCCCCCGACCACACGCGAAGTGGGTGCCAGCTTCGATCCCACATCTAGAACCTAACCGATACATCGAGGATAACAACGTCGCCGGTGACTACACGAAGCACACAGAGATTTTTATGAGAGAATTTCATTTCTCTTCAACCTCAATATCAATTAGGGATGCACGTATCCTTTCAAATACAAATACTAGAAATTACAATCCTCGTAAAAAATAAAGGGTACGGTACCTATGCAACATGAGTCGTGAAACAGAGCCGGATGCCCAGGTTAATTACACGGCTGCATGCCTAACCACTGAGCCATGGAAATACCGGTGTACCCGCATACTCAAAGTAGAAGAACAGTACAGACAGTTTATACAGTACATGACATCGATGGTGAGAGTAAGGATCTAAAAACAAATCAGTGTAACCTTGTGTGCTCGAAAGTAAACGGAAAGATTAGCGTCGTGAACTTGTCATTTTCAACGTTTCGTTATACTACGTAGTTTACGGGTACTACGTGGATCGATTGGGGTGCTACTCTTCTTTTACGGGGACAGTATTCGGCAAGGTTCCGCCATGCATATGCATTTTACAGGGACGGACGGGGCGGTTGAACCAATTTTGTTAGTTGGGATATGGTTGCATGCTCATACTGCTCACACTGCTCTCTCTCTCTCTCTCTCTCTCTCTCTC